CTCTCATCTTCTTGAGATTACACCATGAGACAGCCAGTAACGTCCATGATAGGGCTCATTGGCTCTCATCTCGCACAAGGAGCTGCACAATCTTGGCAGTAATGCTTGTTGGATAGGAGGCAGACAGTTAAGGTAGGTTCTCATCTACCCTTGGGTGCAAAAACAATCCCTGAGCAGTTATGCTGCAGCATTCTGCCCTAGCTGTAATGTGTGAGTTGTTTCCAAAGGCAGCTATAAATAAAGCACATTACAATAATCCTAACTAAGCATCATCCATTAGGAATGGATCACTGCGGGGAGGTCTGCCTCCGGGAGAAAAAGTCACCAATATTGAATATTTCAGAGGTGAGAGAAGCCACTCCTGACCATCGTCATACCATGTTCAGCTCCTGCTCAGAAATGACTCCTACTTTCAGAACTTTGTTGACTTGGCTGGAGCCTGTCCCACCACTAAACACTACTTAATTCCAGTTAGTATTTAAGGAACTATCTCTTGAGGCAACTGATTTAGTTAATTACTGCCTCCTGTCTAATCTCCCTTTGCTGAGCAAGCTAACCGGGAAGTTCACAAAGATTTTTCTCCAATTCCATCTAGTGTCCTGGAGCCCTCTCAGTCAGGATTCATACCAGGACACGGAACAGAGGGAGCGCTGGTGGCAATGATGGACAAGGCCATATATCTGTACTGGTATCGCTCGGCCACTGCGCAGCTTTTGATATGTCTGAACATGGAATCCTGCATGGGGGCCCCACCTCAGAAACATGGAAGGGACTAGTTGGACTGCACCAAGATACGGAACAAATGAAGCCAAGACCTCACTGTGCTGGTTGAGGCATTAACCTGCAGAGGAAGGCAGGCAGAGATACCACAGCTCATCTTTCCCTTGTAGGGGGAAGCAGCTTTATTTTATAACTGCAGCTCTAGAGCAACCCTGCTAGTAGAGGGTCACCAGACTTCTGAATTAGTGCATCTGCTAGCCAGCCCCGCTCAATGTGGGCTACGGCGGCCTGCTCTGGGTTCCCCATTGGAACTGGGTTGCAGAAGGCTTATGCTACCATGCTCCAGCTCCATGTGAACATATTACTACCAAGAGCCTGAAACCTGAGATCAGCTAGCACAGTGGTTCTCAACTACCTGGGAGTACGCAGAGGTCTTCCAGGGGATACACCAACTCAAATAGATATTTGCCAAGTTTTACAACAGGCTACATAAAAAGCACGAGTGAAGCCAGTACAAATTACATTTCATCCAGACAATGACTTGTTTATACTGCTCTATATACTATACAGTACACTGAAGTGTAAGTACAATATTTATATTCCAATCAATTTATTTTATAGTTATATGGTAAAAATTAGAAAGTGAGCGATTTTTCAGTAATAGTGGCTGTGACACTTTTGTATTTTTATGTCTGATTTTGTAAGCAAGTAGTTTTTAAGTGAGGTGAAACTTGGGGGTACGCAAGACAAATCAGACTCCTGAAAGGGGTACAGTAGTCTGGAAAGGTTGAGAGCCACTGAGCTAGCAGAACCAAAGGAGTGAATCTGGCCCCAAAATAGTGAGAAAATAGCAAGATAGAATTGCCTTAGTAGGAAAGGGCAGGGATATAGATCTTGATATCACCAGAATATTGATTCTTCAGACCATGTTATCATATTAATGCTCTGACTGGCTTCACATACGCATTGGAAAATGACAAAACTGACCCCTTCAGGTCTCCATATGGGAAGCTGCAGATGATACTTGATGCAGATATGACACTTGCTATCACTGTGTATGAGATGAATAAACCAGTCTATCACATTATCCTTTAACTCTCAGCGGAGTAGGTCCTCAGGCTGCTCACCACTCTCTGACTCAGATCATCTGCCCTGATCTTTTCCCAGATGGGACAGTAGGTCAGCAGAATTGCTCCCCTCAATATGTCCTGACTGCTTTTCCATCCACTTTTTTCTACTGCTCTTGTTGGGGAAGGAGCAATAATGGTCTTGAACCCGTATTAAAGATTGGGAGTGTGATTTGTTGAGTGGCAACTGGACAGGTCGGGGGGTGAGGATGGAAAACAGATCTGCAGGTGGGGGACATCTGAAAATGATGAAGAAAGGAATCAGATGTTGCTGGAGATACTGGAATTTGGATTGGTGAAGGAGAGCATTACACTGGGGGATGAGATAATACTTACCAACAATTCTTATTTACTGAAACAGACCCTAACTTTCTCCCTATGTCCCACAGAGCAGCAGGATTTCCCTTGACCATCAAGATTATAGTTTTGGCTGCAGGTGTATCTCCTAGCTACCAGGCAGGCAGTCATCTTACTCACTCCTTGACAGATTTCATTGCCTCCTTGTTGGTTCCCCTGCTCTGTGCAGAAGAGGACAGTAGACAGAGAAGGGGCGCTTGAAGGGAGATAGTGGGAGGAGGAAGGAAGGGAAATTTTGGGAGGAAGGAGAGAAATAAGGCTGAGATGATTTACAAACCCACATACTAGGTGCCTGACCATAGGGGTGTGTGATTGAGCTGGGAAGTGTCACAAAAATATGGTAGGAGATCTCTTTGCTGGAGGTTCAGATAGGACACTGAACAGTCGATTTTTTATCTGAACTGATCCTGAACTCCAAGTCTTTTGAGATTCTTCCAAACTTCTTTTCTAGAATATGTATTGTAGCGTGGAAGCAGATTCTGTCTTACATTTTTAACAATAGGCCATGAATCAACATAGAGGAATAATGTAATGTCACAATGGTAGACACAGGACAGAAAATGTAGCATATGGTGTATTATTTAGTTTTGGTTCTTTTTGTTTTGTTTGTGGGGAGAGGGTGTCTTTTTGTTTTTTGCCTTCTGGACCAGTAAGAGAAAAGATCCTTAAGAAAAAACTGATAACATTTTCAGGCTTAAGCCTCCCAGTAGTTAGGATATTTTTTATAAAAAATAATCTAAAATGTCTCAGACTACATACAAAATCCTCCAGCTGTCCTCAGTCCCTCAGTTTATTTGAAGAATTGCCTCTTGAAAATATTTCAAAGCCTTGGCAACTATAGAATTGATGCTTGATGAGGACTGGGGAGATGCAAGGCTTTTGCTGCTCATTGGGGAGAAATGAGAGGCTGGTACAACGACTGGGTGGAAATGAGGAGTGCTGAGGGTCTGTACTGAGCACAAATAAAACATTACAAGTAGCAAGATTTCAAATTAATGTCATGATGCTTTCCAACAAGCAGCAGCCTTTCCTTTGATCTCAGTATTACAGACACACAGCGCCTGATTCTCAGTTACAGCAAGCACACTCTACACCACTGTGGCAGTGTAAAGGGCCTTTAAATGTCACATTAACACCCACTTGAAGGCCCCTTTACACTGGCAGAGCAGTATACAGTGACCTTAGTTTTGGGAAATGGGAATGGAAATCAAACCCTCATTAATTCTATCTAGATCATACTTTCCATTCTCATTCCAGACTGTAAGACAGCTGAAAAGTGACTATAGTTTATTTTTCTTTATAAACTGAATTCTGGATGGCTGCTTTAACTGAGCACTGATTTCTTCTCAATAATCAGTCAATTAACTGGGACATCACTACAATTCACTCTAACATAACCTGGTTTTAAAACTTTAACTTCTGTTAAAATGGCAGAAAAGGTAAAGACAGTCAATGTTTTTCTATACGCATGCTAACTGCAGAACAACGGTAGATTCTTATCATATCAAAACATGATTTTTGTTCTTTCAAGGGGCTAGAAGAAATAATATGGACTTTTCTACAATTGTATCAGCGAATTTAATTGGGAAGGTTTTGTTAGTTGTGCCTTTTTAAAATTAAGAGCTTCATTATCAAAGAAGCTGAGCATTGGCAGACCTCATAGACTTCAGCTGAAGCAGTGAAATGTTAAGTCCTGCTGACAATCGGGCCCGGGATATTTAGCTTCATATGAAACAGTTACAGTCAATATTTGAAATATGAACCTCAAGATTTAGCTTTTAAATTCAACACATTTAATAAAATATTCAAACAAGAAAGCATTAGTCCAGTCTCAAATTAAAATATTATAATATTTAGTGAACGTGTGTTGGAAAACCAGAGTCAACAAAATACATCTGCTATGATGCAGGGTGTCAGATCTAATCATGTATATCATTTCCATGCTTCTGTGTTGCAGGAAAGCATACATATATCACCTGAGCATGAGTATGAGTGACAGGGTGCTGAAAAATATGAGCTTGGGTTTGAATTCACTAGTGTCTGACGAGTGGCAAGCTACAGTGTGTGCTGCAGCTATTAAGCAACTTTGATGAATAATTCCGCTTTTGACACATTCATAAGAGCTTTTCATATAAACATCTAAAACAAATATAACCCAGAATCAAGTATGCACTAGGAAGCTGTTTTATACAGGCATACATGAGTAAGAAAAGGCAGCGCATTAAAAACATATACTGAAAACATACTTTAGGGCCTCATTAGAAGGTCACATCTAACATATTTAAAAATAAGTATTGAATTATTCAGACCTGCAACATCTTTCAATTACAGTGATTTCAGGATCAAAAATGTAATTTTATTACAAGAACTGGTTTTATCTGTAAATGTGCTGTATAAACCACTATTGCAGAAAACAATATAATATATACAGCCCTATACATTACAGCTCAGTATTTTGTAACAGGAACACAATGAAACAGACATAATTAGCTGAAGACTTCAGTCTCTCATTATCACGCAGAACGTAATGGTAAAAGACAAACCAAGATTTTATGAACAGATTCAGAGCTTGAGCCAGTTGTTAGGTATGCAGGCACATTACCATGCAGCCTGTGAAACTGGCTTGTACAGGCATGTGAACAAATACAGTAGCTGATTTTACAAGATATACAGTGACGAGAATGAGCATTCTGCACATCTGAGGACATAACAAAGCCCTTACTCTGCCTGTTAAATCACTGTCACTATGAAAGAGCTACAGGTTTTTCAAATCATTATTTCTTTGCATGGACTTACTTTAACTGTCGAGGTTCACAGTCAACTCCAGGTAGTAAGAGCCTTGCTGCTTGCCGTACATCATCACTGTCCACAGAGAAACTGCGACGGTGCCCTGCATGAGCCAAAGCAACCCTTATCCATTCCATCAGGGGTGGCAGCACTATGAATGGCCTAGAAAGAGCAAAACAGGATAGCTAGTGCCATTAATCTTTAAACATCAAAATTAGAGAGTGATCAAACTAGCTCAGCAAACTGCAGGCAGGTCTAACCCATGCAGCTGACTTGCACCATTTCCAGGAAAAGGTGGGGTGCGTTTTTTTGCCCATGAAACGCAAATCATAGCTCATGAACTTGTTATCTTTATGGCCCTGTAAGTGGTTGCTTTGAGGTCCACACATTTGCCTGGGAATCCACATGCTTCAAACTGGGTCTCAGGAAAAGCAAGCAGAACCCCACTCACAGGAACACACCCCTTCTGGCTGATACATGCATGTCAGTCAGAGCTTCCTTCCCACCCTGCCACCAGCGGAGGGACGGAGAGGGAGAACCCTTCCACCCAACCCAGTAGTCAAAGGAAGAGGAGAGAAGGTAGTTGATGTGCAAGGAAGTTTCCAAATGCCGCATTGTCTCAGACTGATGCAATGTCAGAATCTCACCAGATTATTATTTTGTGGCTCTCTGCAGCTCAATGATGACATGGCTTGTACATTGTTAAAGGCTGAGTACCACTGACCCTACTGTATTTTTGAGGTATCTGAGGGTTACTTCACAGATCATATTTTTAAAAGTCTACTACTGTTCAAATTAAATCCATTATAAATACAGGGCATGAAAACTGGAGGAAATTACCTGCTACTGTGTCATGTGTTTTTTTTAAATTATATGCTCAAAAGTCAGTTGCCATTTGGCCCAAACCCCTTCTGTAACATGTTGTTTTCATTCAGCTTTTCAATTTCTCACCACCTCTACTAAAGCGACGTGGACATTACAGTCTAAATTGGGCCTAGCACCAGTGAGGACATGGATTTTCTTTTTACTATTATAAAACTATTATATAACAAGGCTGTGTGTATGCTAGGAATAGTTAACAGCTGGTGTCAAACACAGTACTCCTCTGGTCTCCCCACCCCAGCCATGTTTGAACATGGTTTGTGCACTAGTGTAGACAGGGACAAAACATGTGCAACGCCCGTTTCCAGAAAGTGTATTCAGCCCGCCGTTCTACCAGGAGTTGACTGTGCTTTTATACTTAAACCTCTTTGAGGAAGACTCAGGAAGTTTAGTAACAGCAAAGGTAAGGTTTATTCCCCTCACTCTTTCACGGAGCGGACATTCTTCCATTCCTTCTCCTCCTTTCCCTCTACCTCCCCTGGTGCCTCCTGGGAATTGTAGTTACTGGACTCAAAGCTACAGAAACTACCTAGCAACAAACTTACAAAATGGGTTGGCTATCTGCACCTAGCTACATACAACACACCCTTCCCCTTTAGAATCACCATCATAAGACTTTAAACCATCACTTCCAACTGTCACTTAGTCTGGTAACAGAGTCTTCCAATCTTTTAAGCAGTCTCCCTTGTCTCACACTTCTCTTAATACCTGGAGAGGCAGGAACGAGATTAGGTGATGGTGCAATTCCTACTGCTATATATTGTCAATCATCACTATCAGAGTGATCACAACCTCAGAGTGGGCAACAGCTATGAGAGAAGACAAGGTACTTCAGGACCTAAAGAGTTACATAGTCAATGGATGGCCCTACAAGACAATGACACCAGCACATTTGCAACCATATAGATGTACATCATAGACTCATAGACTCATAGACTTTAAGGTCAGAAGGGACCATTATGGTCATCTAGTCTGACCTTCCGCATGATGCAGGCCACAAAAGCTGACCCACCCACTTTCCCTTATCTCAGCTGTTGAAGTCTCCAGATCGTGATTTAAAGACTTCAAGTCGCAGAGAATCCTCCAGCTTGCGACCCCTGCCCTATGCTGCGGAGGAAGGCGAAAAACCTCCAGGGCCTCTGCCAATCTACCCTGGAGGAAAATTCCTTCCCGACCCCAAATATGGCGATCAGTAGAACCCCGAGCATACAGGCAAGATTCTCCAGCCGGACCCACATTTTACCAGCGATGGCACGTTATTGCCTAATTGACTAAAATCACGTTATCTCAGCAAACCATTCCCTCCATAAACTTATCTAGCCTAATCATGTGAATTGTTCCTTATAAAGGAATGGATTTTGAGAACTCACCGTCTTGTGCCTACACTTGTGAATAACATAGCTGAAGTCGACATACTTAGACCTACTCACCGCGGTGTCTTCACTGCGGTGAGTTGACTGCTGCCGCTCCCCCGTCAACTCCGTCTACGCCTCTCGCGACGGTGGAGTACAGGAGTTGATGGGAGAGCGCTCGGGGGTCAATTTATTGCGTCTAGACTAGACTAGCTGCGATAAATCGACCCCCATTGGATCGATTGCTGCCCGCCAATCCGGCGGGTAGTGTAGACATACCCTGAGAGATCGCTTGATTCACTTGGGACATGAAGGACATTTAGGGATGGGTCTAACCAAAACACAACTGCGACAAGACTTCTGGTGGCCAGGGATGGACAAGTAGGTTGAGGAACTAATCAAGAATTGCATGACTTCCTTTCTTCTTTCACTCTCCCCCTTTCATTTGGTGTTCTTTTTCCTTGCTTACCCCTCCCTCTGTACTCCCTTTTCACAGCAGGGTTAAAAAAGCCCATTTGACTGAGTTAGGTGCCCACTGGGCAAATACTTTAAATTTTACATACACAAAATTTTACATACACAACCTTACTCCGTACCCATCTTGGGACACCTGATTTAATAGGACGTTGAGCCTTTGGAACATTTTTTTCACATTCACAGCTTTCAGTAATATACCATTTATTCTTCTTTTGAAGACTTTTCTTTGTACAACTCTGACATTAATATTCTTTAACGGAGAGGTTTTCAAAAGTGCCTAATAGATTTAGGAGCCCAAGTGCCAGTGACTTTCAATGGGGCATGATGCTCCTAAATCCTTCAGACCCTTTTGAAAATCTCCTCCTAAATTATTCATTTGCTGACTTGACATTTTCATTTTTTTTAAAATGAATCTCTGTCACCCTCCAGATGAGGGACTATTTGTTTTTGGGGCATTTGCATCCTCGAGACCTTGCCATTGAATCCTAGAGGAGCTGATGAGAAAAGAATGCATTCTCCCAGGCTTCCATGAGAAGATCGTTCCATGAACCACCTAATTTGTAGTGACAGTAGTGGTGGTGGTCAGAGCTGGGAGAGTGCCTGTGTGACTACAACTGCTGGCTGCTTTAAAGAAAAGCTGCTGGGAATATTGTAAAAACATTTGGCTGTATTACAAGTGTGTTGATTAGCATGTGTGCTTGTGGCTGAGCACAGAGAGGGGCTGTGGTTTGGCCTTTAAACCTCCCAATCCAGGAAGTTAAAGAATGATAGATAGCTGAGGGAGCAAATGGAGCAAGGAGTTGGCCTAGGGGAGCTCCGTGATAGTTCACCTGACGTAAAGAAAGTTGAAAAGCACCACAGATCTTGACATTTTGTTTAAACCTAGTCAAAACAGACCAGGTAACAAGGTGATAGATAAAGTTACCAAACAATGACTTAGGATCAGGGAGGGTTAGTACAATATGGCCTGTAGAGCCAGCAATCCAGTAGCAATTTAGTCAGTATAAAGAACTCCCAGTTTATTGCATCATGAATAAGGCACTCCGGGGTTCAAGCATTAGCCCCTCAAGGCTAGGATTGCTGAACTAGATTATCTACATGAGACAAAGATATACCTGGGGCTGAACAGGACATTTAAGGAAGGCAGTAGAGCCTCTCATCAGCAGATCTGGCTCCCCTAGTTATTTCAATTAGGCAACCAGTGTATCTTGGCTAAAGGAGGCAAAGGACCCCTCCAGATATGACCCACAGGGGTGTCATTTGTCCCCCCACCCCACGTAGACTTTTCATAGGTCTATATGCTCCTATTGTGAGGCTGAGTGGCCTCCCTCCGAACCGGAGTGTGAGGCACCACTATGCTCCCCTGGCGGAGCCAAACTCACCCTGCCCCGCTCCCTTCACCGGAAGTATCAGGGCGGGACAGGATGTAGAAAAGGAGACACAGCCCTGAAGCTCAGTTGCTGCTGAGCCACAGGAGAGACCAGACATCTCTTCTGGGGAGCAGATGCTAGGGTTGCCAACTGTATAATCGCACAAACCCAAACACCCTTGCCTGCCCTGCCCCTTCTCTGATGCCCCGCCCCACTCACTCCAGCCCCCCTCCCTCCATCGCTTGCTCTCCCCCACCCTCACTCACTTTCACTGGGCTGGGGCGGGTGTGCGGGAGGGGATGCGGGGTGCAGGCTCTGGGAAGGAGTTTGGGTGCGGGAGAGGGCTCAGGGCTGAGGCAGGTGGTATGGGTACAGTGGGGGTTTGGGGTGCAGGATCTGGGAGGGAGTTTGGGTGCGGGAGGGGGCTCAGGGCTGAGGGAGGGGGTTGGGGTTCGGGAGGGGGTTTGGGGTGCAGGCTTCAGCTGGGCAGCGCTTACCTTGGGTGGCTCCTGGAAGCGGTGGCATGTCTGCCAGTGGCTCCTAGGCTCAGGGGTGGCCAGGCGGCTCTGCGCGCTGCCTCTGCCTGCAGGCACTGCCCCCGCAGCTCCCATTGGCCGTGGATCCCCATTCCCAGCCAATGGGACCTGCGGAGTTGGCGCTTGAGGCGGGGGCCACACGTGGAGACCCCCTGGCCGTGCCTCCGCCTAGGAGCCACTGCTGGACATGCTGGCAGCTTCTGGGAGTGGCGCGGAGCCAGGGCAAGTAGGGAGCCTGTCTTAGCCCCACTGCGCCACCGGACTTTTAACAGCTTAAAATCTCTCTGATTGCTTTCAATAGCCTCTGCGAGATAGAGCCTGATTCCAGGAGACTCCCAGCCAAACTGGGTGGGTTGGCAACCTAGAAGATGCCTCTGCAAGAGCCCAGACCAGCCCCGGAGTGGACCGATGCCTTGCTGTCGGGGAGGAAGATGAGGACCCTGAGGAATTGCTGGAGCTACCCGCGGCCGAGTACCCCAATGAGACAGGGGATCTTTGGACCACGGGACCCTACACCCAGTCTGTGGTAGGAAGTAGCCCAGGGG